AAAAATCATGTGATATGACGTAATTTCGACCATTTCGACTTTTCATTTTGACTTTGACCTCCAAAGTCGAAACATTTTGACTTTTGGATTTTCATTTTGACTTTATGTATAGTAATAACAGGTCAATAAAGAGTAATAATGGGTTGATAGATGGGTCAATAAAGGGTCATAACTGGTTAAAAAAAAGTATCAATAGTGGTTTGTATTAAGTCATGCCAGGTCTAAGATCAAAATAGACTAATTTAGGATAGAACTATAAACACATGATCAGAACATATATTTTTTTCAAATAGTAGGATCATCTTTATTTGTATGAAAACTAGGTATAATAAAATTTATTATTCTCGATAGAAAAGGTGTGACCACCATGGTCACAGTGGCGCAGTATATTTTTCTTATAATGATAATCAGCCATAAAGGTCTGATTTGCCGTAATAATGATGGAACGCAAATATCTCGACATCTACCAGCCAAATTTTGATGAGGATTGATCTTCTGAATTCAGTAGGTTATATTCTTTCTAACAAGCCTATATTCACACAGTGAATGACGAGATATTATCCTTCAAAGTTTAGGCAAAAAAATATATACTCTATATTATGTTTAGCCAATTAGATCGCCCGAATATAACTGCGTGATCATGTGATACCACGTGGACTTCCGTTGGATGTCATCTGACACTAAGCCCTAAGGGAGCAGTATCATGTGACCAAATTACATACTCATTATTTATGGATACTATTAAACACCTTTGATTCTTAATCTGAATCAGACTTAGATGAATCTGATAGCTCTTTACCAGGTTCTAGACCAGTTTGCTCTTCTACATAATTTCCTATCTAGTCTACAGTTCTTTCAAGCCTTTTAACTGAGAATTAAGTTTATCCACTTTTATCTTTAATGCTATAATTTCTCCAATAAAAATACTGAATTTTTTATCAATTGTTGTAAATGCTCTTATATGATAATTGAGTTCTGATAACTTTAGTAGCTCTTTTATCATGCCTTTCTCATACTCGCTATATGTGCTATTAGATATTTGCTCTTGTTTGCATTCCATTATAGAGAAGTATTCTGTAATCAAATATTTATTATATTAATACTCCTGAGTGTCTTATCGCTCAACCACGCTAGGTCTCTTCTTTTACTAATAGATTATTAGAGTGAGTTAGATATTATTAACTTGTAATTCTTGCGAACTACAACTATTAGACAGAGTGTCAGAGTGTTATTTATTTTTAATTGTACAGTAATCTTAAGCTTTTACAAATTAATTATTACGACTAATTAAAGTAAATGTTTCAAGTCAAGGTTTATACGAGTATTTCACGATCAACAATTCACGAAGTTTCAAGTAATTATATTTTCAAGTAAGATGTTTATTGATAAGAATAGAAATAGAAATAAAGAAAATAAAAGATATGACAAGAAGAAAGAAAAGAAAAAAAAAGAAAAAAACGAAGTATGAAACTAAAATGTAACACAATAGGTCTGTTTGCTACTTTAAAACTACTGAAAACTGACTTGTCAAATCCTACTTTTTACATGGTTTAAAAAGCTATTTATTTATATGAAATACTGTATATAGAAAGATATAACTAATATGTCTAATATATCATATATATCAAATACGTCCGATATGTCATATATGTCGAATCTATCTAATATATCTTATTTGTCAATCATGTCAGATATGTCCGATATGTCAGACATGTCAGAAATGTTAAATATGTCAGATTTGTCAGATTGTCAATTATCTGCATCACATAGGTCTTATCATATTTTATTCATTCACAATATGTGAGATACAAATTTATTTTGATACTTCTTTAGGAGCTTGGCCCTTATAGCTCTTTTTTCGGTCACTTTATGGGAGATATCATTTTTGATCATATTCTTATAAATCATATTACACTACTGCCTATAAGGTAATTCAGATACCCTATCTGTTAGATACCAACGCTTAGTATTTAAGGAACTGAGAGATTTTTTCTCAGACTCAACTAGAAATAATACGTGATCTTTTGATCGGATGCCTACATTCTTAGTGTAGAATACTTCTTTACCAAAGAGACAATCTTGATATACTTGGGTCATGGGATCAAATACTTTGGATTCGTCTACCGGATCATCAAACAATGAATCAGCTAATATCAGCATATATGTATTTGTAGCCATTTCACCCATGCCTTTCTTACTAACCCCCTTATGTCTTGAATTTGTGATCTTATCTGCTAAGATATAATGGTAAGAATTGGATCAGATTTGAAATGATTCTGTAATCACATTACCTGGGGTCTCATCCTTATATTTGCCAACTGTTTGATCTCTATTAATATTAAAGAGATCCGATCGTTCATTCATATCTTTATAGATATTTCAGTCTTAGTTTTGAAGATGTAAGAGTCTGTATCCATATTGCCAAGTTCAACATTATCACCATATTTTTCTTTCAAATAACCATACTAGAATTTATACATATGAAGCTTGCTAAGTTCCAAAACAGATGCTCCAACTATAATAGGCTTGTTAAGAGTCACGCTAGTTTTTCCCATATGCGCTCCTACTAATATAGGTCCTAGTGGTCTACCATACTTAAAAGATGGTATGCGAACCTTATTCAAGAAAGCTTTTTCATCTCGTTCATTAATATTTTTTATAATTTTGACATCCTGATACTTGCTCATTTTCCATAGTTTTGCTATATACTGATACATTCATAAGTTTGAAAAAGTCACTCAGGAATGTATTTCCAGCTTTTTTAGCCTCATTATGTTTCTCAGTATTAAAAGATATATATGGTTCAAGCCAGTTAGTCTGATCAAATGAGAGTATTTCTGAAACTTCATCTACAACCATACCTAATTCTACATAATATTGAAGCTTTTAGTAATGGATAATATAGTTCCTTTCGTGATCCAAGATGAGGAACTAATTTTTTTGTGGCAGAGAAGCGTCTACCATCTAATTGTTCTACAAGTTTAGCATTATAAGGATTTAACCAATTCTTTTTACAGTGATATTTTTCACGACTAGATGTAAGTCTTTTAAATAATCATGAGTCTTTAAAGGAAAATGAGCACTAATATTTAAGAAATACTCTCATTTAGCATTAGATCATGTATTGAGAATCTTTTCAAGATATTTCTTCTGCATAGCTGGATTTTTTAGTAAATATTCCTGACTAGCTTCCATTGATATTTTCCGATAGGCAAATATTGACTCATAGAATGTCCATAAAGATTTGTTGCGTCTACATATAATATCCAGGATGTGGGTTTGGATGGGTCATAGGCTTCTCCCATTTTGGGATTATTAGCCTTAAAATATCATTGACAAACCATAGATATACTATCACGCTTAACTTTTTTGGTAAAATTATGCATGGCTATATCTGTAAAAGTTCAATCCTAACTCCTGACATCTTAAGCATTCCATCCCAGAATAATGATGGAGCAGAAACATAATGACTGGGATCAAGTTCATAAAATTCCATAGAAATTTTTTGAAACTCTGTCCAAACATCTACTAGACTAAGTACGTCAGTTTTAAGATAGAGATCATGGTATTCACTTAGATTTTTACATTAGAATTCCTTCCATACTTTCTGGGCGTGATTGTAATCATCTTGTGAGATCTTACCTTTAAGAGTATTATAAAATTCATGAATAGGAAGAAGTTCTTTCTCCTGAAATCTATCATGAGAATCGATATAGTCATAGAAATAAACTCCTTTGTGATATACTAATGCTAATTGCTTCTCTGTATAACCTAATTTTTTGAAATATTGACTTGTTATTGGGTGGTTATCACCCAAATTTTTTGTAAGACTGGCCAAGCTACTATTCATGAACTGCATGCTATCTATATATTTGAGTTGACCTACTTTCATAGTCTTATATCACTCAAATGTTTCGGTTATAATGGCTATAACTTAAATATTAAGAGCATTAGCTGATCGTCCGACAGACTCACAAAGCAAGTAAAAGTCATAGCCTCAAAAGTTGTTAAATATAACTGGAATTGGAGTCTTCCAATCTTGTATTTGGAGTTTGAGATTACAATCCCTATGGGCTGATCCATGAAACTTACCTGTAATATGACAATGATTCCAGACCTTATTGGCTTTAGCTTTTTCACTAGCAATTACTTTATTCGCATTATTAATGGTTGTTTCGATACCATTATATTCAGCTGAACCCTTTTTAAACTTTTCTAGCTTTTCTTTAAGATTGGTTATTTTGTTCTCTAGGTGTTCAATTTCATCTATATCTATATCAAACTTACCTTTACAAATCCAACAGTTAATAGTATTAGTAAATCTTTTCTTGTCTTTTTTGGTCTCAATTCGCTCATATTTGATGGCTAGAATCTCATTGATTTTGACCAGCTCTTGATCAATTCTTCAAACGAATTCTTGTGTGGCATTTTCTCCCCTATATAAGAATAGACCCCAGACATCTCCAGTATTTTTCCAGTGAATCAAATAGCAGAAACTGTTAGCCTTCTGCTCAGTGAGTTTAATCATACTTCCACCATATGTCTCATTACATTTCTTATTATCAGCCTCAAAGTCAGCTGTAATAACACATAGAGCATTGATCATTTGATCATAGTTTTTGAACTTCTCATAATTATTGACCCCATTTACTTGCATTGTAACTTTTTGAAAGGCATTTCATGTATTCTTGGATACCATTCGAAATGATGTTCTAGAGACTTTTCAGAAGGCCAGCTTATAATGCATCAATTACATAAATATTTCTTTTTTTTATACGCATTATCACTATATACTAATCTGTTAGGATTTTTGATCCAGAGAAAGTGGTTCTTTTATCCATACTTATCTGTTTCATTATCTTTAGTAATATCTGTAAGGGCTAATAACTGAATTTTATGTTTTCTTTTAAAGTTTTTACTAGCTATCACAGGTTTTTGTGTAGCAATTTCTTCTTTCTATTCCTAGACACTGATGGAGATATCTGGATTCATCTCCTCAATTTTATTAAATATACGTGAGCAGATGGGAGTAAGCATTGAGATTCCATCTAGCTTAACAATATTTAAGTAGGGTTTAAGATTTTTAGCTCTAAACATTTAATTAAGATTATTTGTATATCTATTCTGATGAGCAAAATATACACCTACTGCATCTTGAAGGCAGTTTCAGAAGGTTTATTTATTTCTGGATCTATAAGAACGTAATTATCTGAATTGATAATACATTTTGTATTAACAAGCTTTTTGGGGGTGGGAATGAAAGATCCTTCAAGAGCTCATTGCAAAGTATATACCTCAATAGATATTTCAGAATTCGTTCGACAATATAACCAGATCCCTTTTTTCATGTTTCCACAATCTGATTATCTATTTCTCCCACAGTTTTTGTTATATGTTCATCTATATCTCCTTCTAAAAGAATCGATCGCATTCTCCTTCTTTGATAATTTTCTATATATAATTTATCATTTGTTCCATCTGGATTTCTTTTAGTAATTGAATACAGACACAATGCTACTATAGCTGATTTTATTTGGTCTTTCTATGAAGCTTTATTTGGAGAACTTCTGTTATTTTCAGTTGAATTAACCCATAAGTTGAGGCATATATAGAATATTTTTATATTCTACTAGATCTGATATTATTTGAATAAAAGCATATATAGGGTTGTTTCTAGGATGAGGAACTTTTACTATCCATTTGCTCATTAAAGATCGATTTTTGTGTGGTCTTTCTTGATCCCTTCCAACTGGATATTCTTCAAAATGAATATTCTCCTGAGTATCTTGTTGCTCAACTTCACTAGGTTCTTCCTCACACAATTAAATCCTTCATATATTCTTCATTAAACATCTCAATACTAGATGGTAATCCCTCTCTATGTGCTTGGGTTGCTGGGCTAGGTCTAGCTTTAGGATCCTCTTCTGATTGGGAAACTTTGGTTTTATTTCATGATCTAGTTCCAGAAGTACTTTTACTTGAAGAATTTTCCATTAGATTAAACTATTCTGCATCTGATTTTAGAATTTTTTATTAATAATGCTTGGGTTATTTTTTATCTTAGGATTTGCTAGCCAATTAACTAAATTTTCTATAGATAAAGGAGTAGTTTCCTTTCGACTAGAAGTCTTAGGAGTTGAAGCTTGTATCTCTTTAGTAATAATTTCAGGATCTTGTTTGCATTGATTTTTATTACTTTTATAATGCTGACGAAGTTTAGCAGGCCTTGTAAATTTATAATCGCAATCTCTACAAGTAGAATTTTCTTATCACTTCTAAGCATGATATTAATAAGTCTCACCTGTTAATTATTATGTAAACTTTTGCTTAAATAAAAATAATTACCTCTTTGGGTATATCTGCTGTTCACTTTTCTATATTGCAGATAATTTTGTTTAATTAAATTTTTCATCCCTATTTTAAATGATGGCATCTTATACTTGCAACTATCTTCATAACTCTGGCAAGATTTGTGGTAAAGCCTGCACTCGATTTGAAGGATGTCGGCAACATTGAAAGAATAGAAAGTGCTATCCTTGTACTGATTGTGGCAATCCTACTGCTACAGCTTGTGTATGGTGTGCTGAACATATTAGAGGATATTATATGATGCAATATTATAATAAATTGCGGGATAAGACTCAGAGATTAAACTTGATAAAAAGTGCGACTTGGAATATGGTATGCATTTTAGGCTTCTTTCAACTTTTCATTCTGTTTTTCTGCACTTAGAGGTAAGACTTGATAAAAGATGCAACTTAGAGATATGCATTTTAGGCTTCTTTCAGCTTTTCATTCTGATTTTTTTTACACTTAGAGGTGAGACTTGATAAAAAGTGCGACTTTGAGGTGTGATTTAGAGGTGAGACTTAGAATAGGTATGCATTTTAGGCTTGCATGATCAGGCCTAGCTCAAATTGCATCACTTTGTTCCTTGATTTTTGATGGCACCTCTAGAGGCAAGCAGAATAGCATAAAAGTTATTATTTATATTGGGTTTGCAATGTCAGGCCCAGCTCAAATCATATCACTTTGTTTCTTGATTTTTAATAGAATAGTCTCTCCTAAGGCAAACAGAATAATAAATTTTTTTTGATAGATTATTTGGGATTAAAATCAGGCTAGAATGTCTATATCAAACAGTATAATTCTTGATATTTAAAGGTTAATTCTAAGTCAAGTTCAATATCATCATCTAGAATTGAGTCAAAATGCGTTAGAGTTTTAAATTAAATAATTGATTTGTATAGCTAGAATTGATTCAGAAGTGAACAGAAATCTTTCTAAGTATTATTTGGATTTTTGTTTCAGAACCCCCTTTTTGGTCTATATAATAGCATATTTTTTAAAAGAATTAAAAACAATTTGATCTGAAATAGCATCCCATAAATGTTTAACCCATTCACATACTTCACTAATTCTTGCCCTTTTTAAATTACCTGCTGCAGTTACACCAGCAACAACTTGAACCATTCATTCATACTATTCTTTTCGCAAATTATCTTTAAAAGATTTATTGATTGATATAACAAGTGGTTGACGTAAACTAGTTAATCCTGTTGGAATAACAGCCAAATGGAAATTATGTTGTTTAAATTTAGTTTTCACACTTTCCTCCAAATGATCTCTAAAAGAATCATATACCATCATAGCAGGTTCTTTTAATAAGATTTCAGACGTATGAAATTTAAAAAGAAAATCCAAATAATTCTTTATCCCTTTTCTTGAAACCTACAAATAATACCTTTTGGAATAATTTTACCACGAAGAAGTTGCTTTTCTTTAAAAATACAAATTAGAGGATATTTTGTATCATCAATAAATAATAAAAAAACATTAAGTTAAATAAATAAAAAATAAAATTAAATTAAATTAAATCTTATTTACCAGCTGAACAAGTTAAAACTACAGTAAAGTGATTTTTATCATTTTCAGTAATATGAATATGTACTGTTTTATCTCCTTTATTATTAACATCATATTACTCACCATATCAAATCAAACCGGAGTCTCATCCATATTAAAAATATTGTTTAAATCAAAATTGTATTGTATTCTCAATCTTATAACAAATCGCTTAAATTCTTCTAACTTTTCTTTTATATCTTTAGGTAATTTTTGTGAAATTTTAGTTCTTTTTCTTAATGATAAATCAAATCTTTTCATAAAAGAACCAATCCAAGAAAGATTCCCTTGAAATTCATATTCTCCTGTTAGATATAATATTTTGATTGCAGGTTCTTTATGAATTTTACACATTTGTAACCTTACTGAAATGTAATTAACAGCTAAACTCTTCTTCTTTTGTTCAATAATCCAGTTGTATGAAAGGTTTTCTGCTTCAGGATACAAAGCTTTTCTTCCTGATCCAATACGTTTTTTCTTTTTATTTTCTTTTTTCAATTCATTGTTTTTTCTAACCTACCTTCTAATCATTAAACCATTTAATTCAAAGTGGTTTACTGCAGCATTTCTTCCATTTTCGAGAGTGTATTTAATTACGTTAATTTTTTCTCAACAGAATATGATGTTCACTTTGTTGTATTCACTTTTTTACTAGTCATTTTTTATAATAAGTCAGTTGAAGTGATTTTACATACGAAAAAAAAATCAAAAAACTTTTTTTTTATTGTATGTAAAGTAGTGAACGACAGACACGAGAAAAAAAAGTCAAAAAAACTTTTTTTATTGCAGGTAAAGTAACGAACGGTAGGCATGAGAAAAAAAATAAAAAACTTTTTTTTATTGTAAGTAAAGTAGCAGACAGTAAGTACGAAAAAAAATTCAAAAAAACTTTTTTATTGCAGGTGGCGGTAGATACAAAAAAAAAGTTTAAACTGTTTTTATTATAAATGTTGGGTGGTAATAAAAAAATTTTTTCTCACTTTTTTT